GGAGCAACCAGGGATCAATGAAGGAGTCCCTGCAGGAGATGATACAAGATGATTTTTGGGGCTTCTTCCAACCCAAAYCATTCCCTGATTCCTCAATTCCATTCCAGCTCTGCAGCCATGACCCACAGCACTGATGTCACACGCTGCCTGTCCTTAATCTGAATGACCAAAAATCTCAGGGGTAGAGCTGAGCAGGGCAGGAACCCATTTGTATCAGTCCAGTGGGGCACAGCTGATTTATTTCCCGGGAATCTCGGTGTGAGCCGTCCCTTCAGAAGGAGCCAGCAGCAGAAATCCAGCWCGGCCAAAGCACCSTGTTGATGACTGATATATGGATTTTGTTTGGGGGTTTTCATGTGCAAAGTTGTTTATTGTAAAGAAGTTTTGTATTTTATAAGAATTCAAATAATAATTTGAGATATATTATAATAATTAACAAYAATCATGTCCATCGGTGCAGTGACACACGCAGATGGACCAGCACAACAAAAAGGCTCCAATATTGCCAAAAAAATGCCAAAAGTTCCCTCCTGATCCCTCCCCAGCATCCTCTGCAGGCCACACCACGCCCTCCAAGTGCCTCTGTCCATGCATCTGCAGTTTACCAACGAGCAAACCACAATAAATGGCTCATCAAAACCGACCTCTGGGAGGCACAAAAAAAATATCGAACACATTTCTATGACGTTATTCCCAGACAATAGTGCAAAACGGGGCTGAAGCGCAATTCCTGTCCCTGAAACCYAAACAGGGAGGATTCCTCGGGCCGAGGAATGCAGACGCACATCGCGCCTGCAGGGATCGCGCAGAGATCAAATGCGATGTTTTCTTTCAGCGCAGACGGCAGCTTTGAGATTTTCCATCCAGACAGCCTCGGAAAGCGCCTCCAGCGTTGGCCAATTACCCCTGACAAAGACCATTTGGTAGTGAGTGATGTTCTCGGTGAAATAAAGCAGCGGAGAAAAGCGAGCTGATGAAAGGGTYCTTTCCTTCCCTCTGAAAGTTCTGTATTGGCGGGGCTGGGCTGGAGCTTCCTGCCAGTGACAAATCCCGCGGGGAGGTGAGGTTGGTCTGACAGAAATAGGAAAAGAGCAGGTTTTCATGTTCTTTTAAGCAGCCAGAGAGGTTCTGGCTATAAACAAAGGAGGAGGTGCTCGRCCCTCTGTTCCACATCACCCCGCAGAAATTTCAGGGCATTAATGGAGGGAATGGTTCCCCAGTGTTGGAGAGATCAGGGGGCAAAGCAGGCTGGAGCTTTCTGCCACCAGCACTCGATTTACAAATCAGCTGCTGCCAGTAATAACCTGAATATTGCATATTTTTAAATTATTTATTAATCACTGAGAGCTTTGAGACAGGTAAAAAATAGCTCAGGCTCTATCACTGTGTTTAAAGAATGATTTAAATAACTTAGTGCTACTTCTCTTGTGACTTTTCTCCTTTCAGACACAGGATTGGGGTCCATTTAGCTCCACATTTACATCTGAGCTGTCAAGAGTGTTTGTCTCAGTCCTCCTGTCCTCTGTGCCGTGCAGCTGGGCTCACACAGCACCACAGCCCTGCTGCCCCARAACCCCAAATTACCCCAAATTTGTCTCTTCCCCCCAAGGGGAGCAGCATCTTTTCCTAATGAGCCCAACCCAACAGCAGCAGCTGTTTTGTGGATTATCCAAGGAATGCTCCCATTTCCCCCTCCTTGASGCTCAACAGTTGCATCTCATTATTGATTTGGATCCAAATCTTGAACCAGTGGGGAAAGTAGAGGAGGAAACTCCAGAGACTCTGGGTGCATTAAGAACATTTTTCACGCTGTTTCATTTTGCAAGGGTCTGGGGTTTCTTTGTTTCACATTTGCTCAAACAAAACCTTTTTATTTGGAAATTAAGGAAGGTTTCACCTGTTGTTTTTTCAGTGCTGTTTCTCTTATTTTTTTCCTGGCAACTCCCTGACTGATTTTTCTATGGAAGGTGTCCCTGCCTGGGGCAGGGATGGAACTGGATGGTCTTTAAGGTCCCCTCCAACCCTAAAAATTCTGGGATTCTGGGATACACTGACATAGCCAAAGCCTGGAACGGGAAATGAGAGATTTCCCTCCTGGGATCCATGTCTGCGTGTGCATGGAGCAGTGGCACACCCAGATGGATCAGCACAATGAAAAAGCTCCAACTCTGCAAAAAAAAAAAGCCCAAATGTCCCTCCTGATTCCTCCCCAACATCCTTTGAAGGTCAGAACACACCCTCCCATCTCGTGGAAAGGATGCACAAATTCTCTGAAATTCCTGGTTGGCTTCTTATGGACAGGCTCTGGATGCCAGGCTGGGTGGCACAGCCAGGGGTGGCACCAACCTCCTGCTGAGAGTGTCCYTTGTCCCCTCATCACTCCTGCCAAGGGTCACGAGGSCCAAGCTGTCCCTGCCAGCTCSTGCCAGWGCAGCCCCAGCAGGAGGGAGCTYGAAAATAGCTCATCCAGAGCCTCTGGAATGTGTCAGCTGATGATTCYTCCAGCCCAGCCCTGGCACCAGGGAATCCCAGGATGCTTTGGGATGGAAGGGACATTAAAGCCCATCCAGTGCCACCCCATGCCATGKCAGGGACACCTCCCACTGTCCCAGGCTGCTCCCAGCCCCAATGTCCAGCCTGGCCTTGGGCACTCAAAGGGATCCAGGGGCAGCCACAGCTTCTCTGGGCACCCTGTGCCAGGGCCTGCCCACCCTCCCAGGGAACAATTCCTGCCCAATATCCCATCTGGCCCTGCCCTCTGGCACTGGGAAGCCATTCCCTGGCTCCTGTCCCTGCAGCCCTTGCAAATTGTCTCTCTCCATGGTTCCTGTGGGCTCCTTCAGGCCCTGCAAGGCCACAATGAGCTCACCCCAAAGCTTCTGCTCTCCAAAACCACCCCGGTCAAAGGAAATGTTTCAATCTGCTCCATCAAAGCACATTCCTGAAAGGGATCCATCTGGCCCCCAATTCTGAAGAAACAAAACACGGGAGCAGACACTTCCCCACTGCAGTCCCACTAAATAAACCATCAGAGTGGAGTTCATGCAATCACAGAATCGTCAATGTTGGTAGAGAACTTCCAGATCATCCAGTCCAATGATCTGAATTCTGTCTTGAGTGACAATTCCCAGAGGAAGCCATGAGGAGACCTGTGAGAGGAAGGACTCCAACAAAGTTAAAATCCAAGAAAACTGAGAGAAGATAAAGGATTACAAAGCTTTAATTTGCACTTGAAAGCAGCAGAGAGGAAATGACATTATCAACWATTTAATTCAATTGTATCATTGAAGACAACACTTCTTACTGTTAAAAATACAATKCAGAAAATAGGATTAGGATTAGAATTGGATATGGACTGAAATTCCTTATTTCTCTGCAGTACAGCTGCATCACCTACTGGACAGCATAGAGATTGCATTGGGTTTATACATTTTCTACARTTGGTTTGGGATTAATTCTTTTTGGTTTTCCCGAATACACTTCACTGCAGTGCTTTCCAAACCTGAATTCTGGAATTATAGATATCCATTAGAACATTCAGTGCAATGAGATGGAACTGTATTTTTTTCTTTCCATTTTATGGAAAATTAAAAATTATTCCACTCCCTGCCATGGGCAGGGACACCTTCCACTATCCCAGAGTGCTCCAAATYCCATCCAACCTGACCTTGGACACTTCCAGGGATGGGGTAGCTACAGCTTCTCTGAGAAACCTGTTACTGTTTAAAGAAACCCCTCAAGTTTTGTTGGGATATTTCCCTGTGTCCTAGAGTTCATTAAATYCATCACTTGAATCACTGACTGCAAACAAACACTTCCAATTCTGCCCCAARTGCAGCACGTTTTGGGAGACATAATTTTTAAAAGCTCTTTCTTTGGGAATGTCGTCGTGGCAATGTTTTCACAGCTTATTTAAAAGCTTTAATGATTGGGTTATGAAGCTGATAATCCCTTTTCTTGTCCCAAACCAGACAGGCCTRAAGGCACTCAGCAGTGATGGATGAACTCCACTCATTGCAGCAAAAAACTGTAAAATGGAAGCCACTTTCAGCAGAAGATCAAAGAAAATCCAAGTTATTTCCATGAACTGACACAGCAGAGATATTGTCAGATTTCACGTTTATAATTTTTCAKGGACTTCAGTGATTGCACTAAATCAACACCTTTCTTTAAAAAAATAAAATACAATAAAAATACAACAAAATATCATTAAATTAAAATTTTTAAAAAAGCTGTGCTATTTCTGCCTTGTGGTCTYACTACATGAAATCAAGTGGCTCTGATCACCTTAAACAAACCCAGTGTCTTCGCTGCAGTCACTGAGAGTATTCCCATTCCAGCTCTCCTTGAATCCCAAAATCATCAGGATGGGAAGGGACCTTTRGGATCAGCCAGTGCCACCCCAGCCCAGCAGCATCACCCCAAAGCCTGTCCCCAAGGGCCACATCCAGACTCCTCCTGAGCACTCCCAGASACAGGGACTGCACCCCCTCCCTGGGCAGCTCATTCCAAGGCCTGACCACTCTGACAGGGAATTTTTTTCCTAATCTCCAGTTAGGAATGAAAAGCTGGAAGAGAATCCAACTCCATGCCATGCTCTGGACCAGGTTTTTATCACTCCTAGGCAGAACCTGGGTTTATTCCCACTATTGCTCAGATTTGCGGATTCARTCTGAAAGGAAATTGATACCAAGTGGGAAATAACGCATTTTTTTCCCATTTTCCATCTCAGGGAACAGAGAGCCAGAGTCAAATATTAACAGCACAACACTGAAGTGAAGAAACTATATTTGCAGCTCAAAGCAGAGGCTGAGAGGGAGAATTTGCACTCTGAAAACTTGATTTGGCATCCTGTAAAACAGGTGGAGAGCATTCCCAGTGCTGCTGTTTCCTCAGGATACCTTGACTTCCWCATGGTTTTGGTTGACTCAAAAAAGTTTAAACTTAAATTTAAATTTAAGGTGTATTTATATAAATACCCATAAATTGCCGTGCTCTGCCTTCTCTCCTGCATTTCCAGCCCCRCTTCCTGCTCTCCCTGGAGGCTGTGTAGGAGTTTCCAGGAGCAGAGCTCATATCCAAACCACCTGGAAGAAATGTGGAGCCCCCAGAGCAATCCTGAAGCMAATCAAACTTCTGTCAAACTCGTATTCACCTTGCCAGACACATTGTACAGGAGCTGTTCCTAAAATAACCATGCCCAGGAAAAAAAGAGAGAGAAACCAACCAAACATCCTTATCTCCTTTAACTCTGGCACCATTCTGATATTAWATTATAAAATTGGAAACACAGCTGGTAGTGGAAAATGAAAAAGGGTTTATTAAAGGAAGGTAGGAGGTCAAACAGTCACAGGGTAGGGGCTGAGCTTCTCTCTGCTGTTGCCAGTTAGTGGCACAGAAGTAACTCGAGACAAACTGGTTAGAATTCCCTGCAGTACAGCATTCCCAAATCCAAAGGAATCTCAGGAGGCACTTCAGAGCCAGAGAATCATGGMATTGTTAAGGCTGGAAAAGAATTWAAGCTCAAAGTCCARCCATCACCCCAGCATCACAACCAYGGTCATCATTGAAAYGAGYCCTCAAGTGCCACATCCATGTTTTTTGATCACTCCAGGGATGGTAACTCTTCCCTGGGCATCCTATTCCAATGTTTGACAACCCTTTCCATGAAAAAATAATTCCTGATATCCAATCTAAACTGATCAGGACTGATTGGGACTGGCAAGAGTGTCAAATATGGCGGTAAGTGATTTAAAAACATAACTGAGGCAAATCTGAAGGTAAGTTGGCCTCAAGSATGTGAGAAATGGAGTTCCAACTCTAGCAAGAATTTTACAAAAATAAAATAGAGAAGTCTTGTAGAAAATGAAATAATATATTTATAAAAATAAACCCTTTTTAAACCCACAAAATGGAAAATAATCACTACACAATAACAACTACAAATGAAGTTTGTGCAGTTAAAATAAGGGTCCTGCCCTGAAATGCTTAAAAAAATTCTCTTTTCTCCAATCCACAYGAGCAGCTTGAGCTCTTCACTTCAGCAGAACCTTCTGTGTGAAAGTCAGCAAAGAAACAAAATTATTCTGCTGAATTTTTAAATAATTCTTTGCTGCTCAGGTCCATTAAAACAGTTGAGCAAGGCATGTCCATGTCACAGCTCTAGAGGCCTCAAGGTTTTGCCAAATTCAAGTTGCAAAGAATCTCAGCTGATTTTTGAAGGATCCTCAGATCTTCTGAGCGCAGCATTTCCACCAAAGCCAGGTGGGTTTTGTGGTTCTCTTTGTCCCTTTTCAACTGGGAAATMTAGAGTTTAGACAAATGGGAAGAAATTATTAAAAATTTTGATTATTGAGTAGGATATGATGAGAAAATTTGTTGAAGTCTCTGGGGATTTCATGAACTATGTCAAAACAGTTGCGGTTTTTAATTCCACAAGAGAAAGGTTAATAGTAAAAGGGGTAAAAAGGGGGAAAGGGAAAAATAATCAAAATACTCACCTAGAAAATGACATTATAAGAGGAAAGAAAGGAATCTSAGCTACCTCAAATTACCTGGAGAAGGACATGCTGGGTCTCCTCTATTAAAAAATGACAAATTTTTGCAGCTRTGTCCAAAGCCTGTTGTTCATTGCTGGCTGAAATGACATCCCCAAGCAGGGTCCTCCTCCAGCAGGCACTAGAATCAAAATGTTGGAACATCACAGAATTATTTGCTGCACTCCCCAGAAGGATGCCAAACATGTGGTTCTACTGCTCTCCCCCTCACCTGGGCTTCTAACCCATGCCAGGGATTTATTTTTAGTTCTTATATCAATTTATTCCACTCAGCAATGAATCTTCAAAGCACAAACAACTCTGAACAATCCTTTTATCATTTATTAATTCCCTCATTTCTTTTATTCCAAGCAAAGTGCAGGGAACCTTTTCTATCTCTGATGTTTGAGGCAGATTTGCCATTTGGAACAAATGTTCCAACTGCTCTGACAGTTCCTGGAGATGAATTTCAGGAACYTCCTTGGCCCTGAAATTCCAGCCTGTGGAACACATGAGTCAAGGAAATCAAGCCAGGTTAAGAGCATTTAAAATTTCATCAAACCAGCAGGAAAAAGGCCTGGAGTCTGCACCTTGAAGGAATATCTTGGGCTTGAAATAGAAAGGGAAAGTAATGGCGTGTGGCTATTAATTCAAGAAGGAAAAAAAACCAAAGCAGCAACAGGGCAATGATTTTATAGTGAAGGGTGTTCTCTGCCTTTCTTCTCCTCGCTTCTCACCTGGGGTCAATAAATCAAACACAAGAGATCCAAAATTATTGTCCCAGGATGTCACACACAGCCAGCAGAAAGCAAAGAGTGAAGGGACCAGAAAAYATTGAAGAGACTGGAAAACCCATCCTGGGAGGAGCGGCTGAGGGARCTGGGAAAGGGGCTGAGCCTGGAGCAAAGGARGCTCCRGGGGGACCTTGTGGCTCTGCACAACTCCCTGACAGGAGGGGGCAGCTGTGGGGGTTGGGGTCTTTGGCCATTTGTCAAATAAAAGAACATGAGAAAATGGTCTCAAATTGCACCAGAGGAAAGAAAATTCCCTGTCAGAGTGGTCAGGCCTTGGAATGAGCTGCCCMGGGAGGGGGTGCAGTCCCTGTCTCTGGGAGTGCTCAGGAGSAGTCTGGATGTGGCYCTTGGGGACAGGCTTTGGGGTGATGCTGCTGGGGCTGGGGTGGCACTGGGTGATCCCAAAGGGCTCTCCCCACCTTGGTGATTCCATGAAATAAAGGAAAATGGCACCTGCACATCCACCAAACATTCAGGGTGCTACAACTTACAATTCATCTGCTCCCAGACTCAGCACCTTGAGGGCTGTGAGGAGTCTCCATGATGGTCCATCCCATCCAAAGGTCAGGTTCCTACAAAGTCCAAGTGAGGAGATGAAGGTGAGATTTTACAGTGTGATATTTCCTTCCTGACATGTGTCAGCAAGGGAAGATCTCAAGCTTTGATAATGGTGTTTGCAACCTCTCCATCTCTCCCAAGCAGTGAGTTTGCTTAAAAAACAAATAATTCTTTTCTTGCTGAATTTTGATACTAGAAGCACAATTTGAGTCCCAGAGAAATTGAATACAAATCTCACCAGGAAACAATTCCAGATACCTACTCTAGGAAATCATGATCCTTTAGAATGGAAACTTTGGCCTTTCTCTGCTTGTCCAGTGGTGAAAAATACTTGAGAAGAGTATCTGCAGAAAAAATACATTTTAGATATTTAAATAAACAGCTTGTAAAAGAAACCAAATTCATCAATCCTGAAATAACATTTCAACCACATTTTTCAAGTAACCTTTTTCAAAACCTTCCAGAACTTTCCAGAATCAAAAGTGTTTCTACTTCCCAAAATCTATCATCAATCTCCAGGATTGTATCCTTATAAGAGAAATCCTGACTCAAACTGAATTTATGAACTACTTTAAGCAAATTCAGTTTGTGCACATCAGGATTTTAACCTAAGACATCCAGTTGGAATCCCTGCACAGATGCTGTTAATAATCACATTTTTATAAAAGAAAATGTTAACAGGGAACATTTTAGTTTTTAAAAATAAGTTTAAATCATTAAACTCTATGCAAAGAGGTATCGAACCCTTTTTCACTCCTTGAGAATTTACAAGCTCAGTTCTCTGTTATGGTGCCTTTCCATGTCCAGACAATCCATAAATMCAACCTGGTGAGACATAAACGCTGCTGTGAGGGTTATCCATGGCAACAAATCCATATTCCAGCAGCAGCCTCTGATTATCATGAGGTCCATAGCAGATAAAAACTTCCTGATGTTTTTTGCACGGTGAATTTGTCCAAATGTCATAGCTCCTGGTCTGCTCGTTAAACGCAGCCTTGACCTTCAGGGAGTGAAAATGGAAAGGTTTTACTCTTGGCAGGGTGAAAAAGGAAACAAACCTTGAGTTTTGAGACCCAAAAAGGATTGAACAGCTCCCTAACAATGGGGGGGGGGAGGGTTCTGCAGAGGCAGCCCATGAGGGTGAAGAACAAACATCACAGATTTGGGGCCTCTCCAAGAATGTGTGGACTTCTTGGAGAGGCCCCAAATCTGCAGGGACAGATGGTTCCAGGAGGAGTTGGCCTCTGCCGTGCTGGCCCCGCTCAGTGTTGGCACACAGAGTTTGCCAGAAGGTGGAAATGCYCTGTGCACTTCCCTCAGGCTGCTCAGAGCCTTCAGCCACAGGTGAAGGAACACAGGGACCGTGGAATGTGGAATTTGTCTCAGGACAGGAGTTTGTCTTACTTTCAGGAACAGATCAGGGGTGTGATTACAAGTAGCCCTTCCCAAAACCTGCCCTGGGTGCAAATCTCCCCCAGCCACGGGGAGCTCACCCTGTGCCTTGGCTTTGCTTCATAAACTGAGATATTTCAATTGTGGAATCACTGAATATTTGGGTTGGAGGGGACCTTAAACTTCTTGTTCCAGTCCCTGCCATGACAGTGACACTTTCCACCATCCTGGGGCGTTCTATGTCCCATCCAACCTGGCCTGGGACAATTCCAAGGACCCAGGAGCAGCCACAGCTTCTCTGGAAATTCCATCCCAGCCCCTCCCTACCCTCCCAGGGAACAATTCCTGCCCAATATCCCACCTAACCCTGCCCTCTGGCAGTTTGGGATGGGAAGCCATCCCCCCCTTGTCCTGATGACCTGAGCCATTTTTCCCTGAGATCTCTCCCTGACCTCCCCACACTCCTCATCCATCACATAAACACAGATGGCATTGACAGAGTGCTGTTAAAAATAAAGAAATTTCCTGATCTATTCATAGTTTCTTACCTGAACATTTGGGTTGTGGTTTAGCAAATCTAAATATGGTGCCAATGCATAAACATCTGGCTCCAGGGAAAAGCATTCCCTCTGAGGATGTTTCATGTAGATTGTCCTGGTATTTACAGTGCACCAAGCCCACTCTAAAGCACTGTAGTTAAAAATAATTCCTGTGTTTTCAGCAAATAAAGGCTGCAGGGAAGAGAAAAAAGCTTTTGAAGATACAAACAACTCATGGATCATCATTCTCTGCTCCTGAGCCTTCTTTTTTAAGGGTTCTGGGAGAAGGTTTAGTAAATCAGGGTCCAAACAAGCAGGGCAAGTGTACGTCTTGGGTAAAACATCCAGGTAGGGCTTCCATGGAGATTTCTCCCCAGCGTGTTTCTCTGCTATCAAAAATGTGCACAGTGCCAGCAATGGAGACACAGGGGGCTTCCATCTATTGAGAAAGAAAATAAAAATAAAAAGAAAAAATAAATAAAAATTTATAAAAATATATAAAAATAAAAATAAAAATAAAAATAAAAATAAAAATAAAAATAAAAATAAAAATAAAAATAAAAATAAAAATAAAAAAAATAGCAGCACGGCAGATCCACAGAGGTGAGATGGGAAATGGACACAGCAGTGTTTTATCTCTCTCAGAGTTCTTTTAAAGTTAAGAACAGCTTCTATTTTAAACTTCTTTGTAGTTCAAGTTTTTTGGATGATTTCAAAGGGGCAATAAAAGCTGGTTTGTAATAACAAGTTCAGGTTTATCCCCTGGGCTGGTCTTTTTTAGGACACAAGCATTCAATGCCYAGCATGGGGCTTTGTTCCAAATTTTCTRAAAGACYCTGGCTTYRCARCCCGCTTTTATCTTCCTTTTCCCAYTGAAGCAGATTCACAAATTAAAAAAAATTCATAATTCACATTTAGATCCAAGCAGRCTCTGAGGCAGCTCAAACTCCAGGCTATGCTCCCTCTCTTCAGCTCTACCAAGCAAAAAGGGGATGTTCAGTGTCCAAACCTCTCCTACCTGCACATTCCACGCCCACAAATGCTGGCACCCTCGAGGAATGAAGTTTAAAGCTTTACYACCCCTTCAGACTGTTCATCTGCCACTGAAAAAAACCCACTAAAGGCCATCAGGTGTCACTTGGCACTTACTTCCCAATGTACCCTCCCAAGCAGCTGCTGAGGACAGTGCCAGTGGTGAGCAAACACTTCTCAGGCAACGAAATAATCAGATCTCCTGCCTTTGAGAGAGGAGGAAAAAAAATCACACACAAAGAAAAGCAAAAGTCAAGTGTAAATAACTTATCTAACACTGCTGTGGGGACTGATAGTTTCATCTTATGGCTGCAATAGTCTAAAAGACAGAAATTACATTCACAACAGAATTCTGAGTTTTGCTTATTGCAAAAACAAAACCTCACTAAACCTCAAAAGAMCCTGATGAGCTCCTGCAATAGAAGCAACATCACTCACCCGAAGAGCTTTTGTTGCCATCAGTCCTCTTCCTGTCCCTGAAGCAGAAAAAAGAGCAGGAGTAAGTAAATGTAGATACGGAAAATCAGGGATCTATGAACAGATCAGCAAGAAAAACCTCAAAAAGGAGAACATTATGTCTTACAAAACATAAATCCAATTATGGATTGTTCCAGGTTTACATCTCCTTTCTTTGTCCTCCAATTCTCTTTATTTTTCAAGATCTTTTCCCTGCATCTCCTGCAGCATTTGCTGTTCAGTTATAGAAATTACTCAACTTTTTTTTCTCCCAGTTATAGCAATTATTCAACTTTCTTTTTCTCCCAGTTACAGCAACTATTCAATTTCTTTTTCTCAACTTTTCCCTAAAACACATCTGTCATCACCAGCTGCAGTCCTTGGTTTCAGAGTTTTAACTAAACTTTACAATTTCAARTCATAATATTTTTCTCTGATCCATTCTACTCTTTCTGCTCTGTCTATAACACTGCAAAATGTTTTAAATATAACCTTCTTAAACAGAAAAACTGTAAATATATCTTTATAAACATTACTAAGTGAATTACAGCTCTAAAATCAATTACTYGTATGCATCACCAGAACTTCTGAACTTGCTTGGGGAAAAAAATATTAAGAAATTATAGCAAGGTCAGATTCCAACATTGGAAACTACTTTATTCTYTAAAACTACGTTATTAACACTTCAAATTTTGGCCTTTTCAGGTCTCTGTATCTACTTTTATACATTAAATTGATATTGCAAAAATCCTTAGAAAAGTATCAGCAACTGGCTCTTTTCCAGATGCCAGCCAGGTGCATAATTCAAAAGAAAAGYGGGAATCTAAAGTTCTTAGAAGATTTAGAAATTTGCACAATCAATAAATAACTAAAGCATTACCCCAGAACTCTGCTGGCCTTAAATTACTGTCTTCAAATCCTCTGTCTTTGAGCCATTTCTTAAGTTCAATGTATTTCAGCTTGTGACTGCAGTTGACTAAAAACAGGGGGAAAAATGCTATTAAAGAGCATTCTGTTGGAAAATAAATGAAATTTAAATATTTTACTGTATAGTCAGAAAAACTGTATTTTGGATGTTTTAGGACATAACAGAATAGCAAGAAAGGCTTCTATTGATCTAAATAAATTCTAGGCTTCTGGGAGGTCTCAGAACTAACTCACTAACTGTGAGTTATTCAGCATCTCCAAGGAATTTCAGAATAAATTTCAGTATTTTTTTCAGTATTTTTTCAGTATTTTTTCAGTATTTTTTCAGTATTCTTTCAGTATTTGCCATCAGGCAAAAAAGAGAGCTAAAAAAGAGAGCTCAGAAAATTCCCCATGCTCTGCTTGGGACTACAAACTAATGGTCAAATATTTGCATATAAAAAGAAAAGKTAACACTTCTGTCCTTTTCCAAGCACAAAGGCTTTTGACAAATACAGATAATAAAATGACACCTTGACAAGCAATTGGTCACTTTATTATTTAACTCCACGGATGATGATACCTCCATCCACAAAACCCTCCAAGCGTTTTCTTCTTCTTCTCTTTCGACCTGTCCGACCATTGCTTTTCTTCATATTAAGCAACAGATTCTGCCCTTCTCAGACAATCTGAATTTAAAAAAAAAAAAATATAAATAAGTGATTTAGAAACATTTAAAGTCACCTTCAAATTTTTTACTGTGAAGGGTGGGCAGAYCCTGGTACAGGGCGCCCAGAGAAGCTGTGGCTGCCCCTGGATCCCTGGCAGTGCCCAAGGCCAGGCTGGATATTGGGAGCAACCTGGGACAGTGGAAGGTGTCTCTGCCATGGCAGGGGATGGGATRGGATGGTCTTTCATAAAATCCTGGAATATCCTGAGCGGAAGGGACCCCAGGATCACCCAGTGCCACCCCTGTCCCTGCCCAGCCCCCYCAGCAATCCCAGCCTGTGCATCCCTGGCAGCGCTGTCCAAACGCTCCTGGAGCTCTGGCAGCCTCGGGGCCGTGCCCGTTCCCTGGGGAGCCTGGGCAGTGCCCAGCAACTTCTGAGAGAAAAAGAACCTTTTTCTGACATCCATCCTCTTTGCAAAACCGCCCTGAACTGAACCTCAAAATGCAGCTTTTCCCTGCAGGGAGGGAGGGCCTCAGGGAGCCGGGGATCACCCACAGGCGCTCGGGCTCCTCCAGCGGCGGGCCCTATATCCCATCCCATATCATCCCATCCCATCCCACTCCCAGAACTGGGAATCCTGTGCAAACACCACCCTCATTCCTGCCTCAGCACGACCCCCGGGACGGGAGGGATTGAAACGACCCCGGCAGCGCGGAGATTGAGGGAATTTCCTAAGGGACYGCCCGTGCCCCCCGCATCCTCCCTGGGAGACCCAGCTGCATCCTGCCCTGGGAGCCCGAATTGTGATTGTCGAGTTTCTCCCGGACTGGAATCGCTACCCAGTGTCCCAAACCCACCGGCTGAAGAGGACTCAAGGGCCGACATTCCCTCGCTGTCCCTCTCCGTGGATCCCCGCCCGCGCTCCCGCCCCTGAGGCGGGGCTGCCCCGCCATCTTAGGGGTGTGCTTATCTCCGTCCCYGCGGTTCGCAACTGCCTCTGTTTTGGGAATACGTGTTCTGTCCTGGCTGTGTGGAGCTGAGGGAGAGGTCCCCGTGGTGCTGGAGGTGGGTGATGATGGGGTGCTCGGTATCACCCCCCCTGACCCCTTCAGCCCCGCGTTTTCCCCTGAAGGGGTCGGGGTTCATGGTGGCCTGTGAGCTCCCTGAAGGGGTCGGGGTTCATGGCGGCCTGTGGGTTCTCTGAAGGGGTCGGGGTTCATGGCGGCCTGTGGGTTCCTTGAAGGGGCCGGGGTTCATGGCGGCCTGTGGGGTCCCTGAAGGGGTCGGGTTCATGGCGGCCTGTGGGTTCCCTGAAGGGGTCGGGGTTCATGGCGGCCCCGCGGGGTCCCTCCCTGTGAGGGAGATGGGAAGGGCACTCCTGTCCCTGCGAAGTCACTCTGGAGATTCTTGGAGCGTTAGATCCTCCCTGAATTCCTGCTTGGGGCTACAAGCCAGTTTGGAAGAGAGCCGACAATGATAGCAAAAGGGAACAAACACAGCAAGTATGAACTTGTTTTTATGGTGGAAATGTAGCTTCTTTAAATGCACTMTATCTGTGAGGAAAGCAGCAAGCAGTAAGGCTTTCGGATAGTGTGGTACACAATAAGCATGGTAGTCAGCCTGTGGTCTGCTGTTTTCCCTTGAAAAGGCTGTAATTGCTCTTTCTGCTTGGCACTGGAAAGTAAAGTTACTGCATCCTTTTCTTTTTCATGGTTTGGGACCTAAAAGATCATGCAGTTCCAACCCTTGCCGTGGACAGGAATACTTGGCACTAGACCAGGTTGCTCAGGTTTTGAGCCTGAGTTTTTAAGCAAAACTTGAGCTGAGCACATTGAAAATTCCCAAAAGATGGAAAATCTTCCTGTGAGTTGTAAGTGCAGAAGAGCTTACTCCCACAAAAAGTTAATTTAGTACTAGAGATTAGTCGCTGACTTTTTTTAGTTGAGACAATTTTTTCTTACCCATCACTGGTTGGCCTTTCTTCAGAACATTTAACACTAGATTTCTCTGAATACCTCGTGCTACATTAGAAATTTACACAGCATGAACAGGAATGTAGTTTCACATAATCCAAAGTGGAATTTTAAACTGTATTTTAAAGAAAAACMCTCTAATWGCCCAGAGAGGTTGTGGACYCTACACCCCTGGAAGTGTTCAAGGCCAGGTTGGACAGGGTTTGGAGCAACCTGGGATGGTGGAAGATGCCCCTGCCCATGGCATTAGATGTTCTTTAAGWTCTCKTCCAACCCAAACCATTTTARGATTATAATTCCTTTWSTAACAGCCATTTCATCTGCCTGACTGAATTTTTCTTTGCTGTTGGCAGTTGCTMTCACCTTGGCTGGCATTCTGAGGGGACAATGTCCAACGTGCCGGTGGCTGTGGTGACGGGCTCCAACAAAGGGATTGGCTTGGCCATTGTGCGGGCCCTGTGCAAGCAATTCCCGGGGGATGTGTACCTGACATCCCGGGATCCCGGCCGTGGCCAGGCAGCCGTGGCACAGCTCCAGGAGGAAGGGCTGCGGCCCCTCTTCCACCAGCTGGATATTGATGACCTGCAGAGCATCCGAGTGCTCCGGGACTTCCTGAAGGAGAAGTATGGAGGGATCAATGTGCTGGTGAACAACGCAGGGATTGCTTTCAAAGGTAGGGAGTGGTCTGGTGGGATAGTCCTGCATTCTGCCAAGTTGTGTGGAGAGGGCAGTGCGTGCAGCTAACACTTGTGTGTCACTGCCATGCTTCATTTTTGGTTGGGCAAGCTTCCCATCTTAAGTGKGAYGTGAGAACAGTGTGCTAGGGGAGRCTCAGGGTGGACACCAGGAGGAATTTCCTCATGGAAAGGGTGCTYAGGCCTTGGCAGGGGYTGCCCAGGGAGCTTTGGAGTCCCCATCCCTGGAGGTGTCCCAGGAAGGGCTGGAGGTGGCACTGAGTGCTCTGGGCTGGGGACAAGGTGRGCATCGGGCACAGCTGGGACYCCATGGGCTGGSAAGGCTTTTCCAACCTCAGGRATTCTGGGATTCTGTAARCATGCTTCCCTGGAGGGTTGTGTTTGCACCACAKGGAAATAATTGAGTTACACCAGGCAGGTGAGCTGGGTTGGAGTAATTGTCTCAATGCCCAGGACTTTCACCAGRCCCACAGGAGCCCATCACCAGGGGGAATATCAGCCCTGTTACCCAGTATTTTCTCTCTTTTGCATTGCTTTGTTCTCTGCATAGCCTGCTCAGGGTTTCCAGCTGATAAAAATGAACCTTTGAGCCTGGGTGGTTTTTGTCATCTCGAACTTTCTCTGGCCATTCAGTCACCTATAACCCCCTAAATCCTGCTGTGCTGAGCAAAAATTTAACCCTTTCACCTTCTACTGGGCTGGGAGGCAGGGAAAGTGAGGAAGACACAGCAGTTTTAAGGTGGAAGGATGCATTCTTGCTGTGTTTATGAAATCCAGAATCATGTTAGCTCCAGACGGAGTAAATCACAAGCCCGGTTGATGGTTTTGTGGAGGGCATTCTGCTGCTGTGCCCCGTTCAGGTGAGACCCCACCTGSAGAGCTGCTCCAGCCCTGGGGCCCAGCACAGGAAGGACGTGGAGCTGCTGGAGAGAGCCCAGAGGAGGCAGCAGGATGGTCAGAGGGATGGARCAGCTGTGCTGGGAGRAAAGGCTGGGAGWGCTGGGATTGTTCAGCCTGGACAGGAGAAGCTTTGGGSTGAGCTCATTGTGGCCATCCAAGGAGGAACTGCTGTCAGGAAAGGCTTCACACTGACAGAGCAGGGAACTTCCATGGAGTGGGAGTGCTGTGATGATGTTCTGAAGCCCATTCACTTTTTGCCTGTTTCTTTATAGGCAGATTGCTAATGTTCAATATCAGCTTATTAGGAGGCAACTCATAATAGATTTGTCTGAGCTTCATGGTGTGCTCAGGAAAGATTCCAGCAGCAGTTTAAATACCACTTCCAGATGTTTAGCCTTGACTTTCCTCAAGCTGACTACAATGACTCAGCAGTTCACACAACTTAGAGTGTGATGAAGGAGCCTCTTGTAACTGTTGCTGTGTAAGGATCAAGCACAGAGGGTGTAACATCTTTTTAAAATTTGCTGTGATGCTTCTCTCATAGTTTTAATTCTTACATCCCAGATTGGTGTTCCTACCGCAGCTTGCTTCTTGCCTTACCAGGTTCCTGCTGCCATCCCAGAATTTATGCTTTCCTTTATTGTAGCATTATGTGCTCTTGCAGCCTGTCAAAGATTACAGCTGCCRTTAAATTTTGTTATTTTGGTTTTGTGCTGTGCTTGTCCAGCAAAGTTCTTAATCCAACAAAAGCTTCCTTTACCAAATGGTGATGGAGCTGTGGTTGTCTTCTGGACCAGCCTCTTGGGGAAGAGTTGTGCTAAGAAAGCTTCTTAAAACAAGGAGGTGTAGGATGTAACAACATATCCTGTTAGAAAAATGCATGGGGTTTGAGCATTTCCCCTCACGAGGAGGGGAAAGCATGGAAGCAGGAGTTTGGTGTTGTGTAGGGTTTTAGTTCTCCCCCTGCCATAACCCTGGCCATGGGTCATGATTTGGCTCCATGTGTGAGTTTTAAATGTAAGTGATTTGTAAACGAGTGTGAGTCATTAAACTGCAATAAAAATCACATCAAATACTCAGTGACCTGTTACTATTTCTGTATTGAGTTACCATGGACCTGGGCTATGGAGACAAGTGAACACCTGCCCAGTGTGTGCCCATCCCTGCCCAGGTGGAGCCTGGAGCTGCAGAGGAGCAATGCTGTCACTTTGCACTTGGAGAGAGACCCAAGAGTTAGAATGCAGAGCACGGGGTTTGCTGAGATCACAGCAATCCTGCCCCTCTTGTGGTGGTACCAAGCTGCCACTTGTGTGGGATGAAATCATCCCCTTCCACAGCAGTGCCATGGTTTCCTTACAGTTACCTCAGCCAGCTCCTTTTCCTGGCTCCAATTCCCACCCTTTCACTGGTGCTAGCACAGATCTGTAACCTCAGRGGGTGGTTTTTGACACAAGTATAGCTCAGTTTTGGGGGTGGTGGTGTTTTTTGTTAGTTTGTATTTTCAGACTGCACCAAATCATACCTCTGCCTTCTTTAAAGCTTTTCTTGTATGTTTTAATTGGTCATATRCCTGTGTTAATTTTAGTTGCTGTTTTTAATAATTAGAACTTTTGGGGTTTGGTAACTTCYATTCAAACAGTAGTACAACTCTGATTTTTGGGTTTTTTTCCCTTCTTTGCCACCTCTCATGACCAGTTAATGACACAACTCCATTTGCAATCCAAGCTGAGGTAACAATGAAGACAAACTTTTTTGGAACCAAGAATGTTTGCACAGAATTGCTGCCTCTTATGAAGCCTTATGGTAAGTGAAACACAGCAAGTAAAGAAATAGTTTTGTGCGAATTTTGGCCTTTTGAAATTAGAAAATCCTGTCCAGTCTCAGTTACTGCACCAGTGTTTCAGCTGGGTTTGATGTGGTGCTGTGGTGTGTTTGCTGCTATAAATRAACTATAGTCTTTCTTAACATTTGAATGTGTCCAAATTTTTAAGAAAAAAAAAAAGTCAAGTAGATGAAAAAAGCTGGGAATTGTTAGTTCCTGGGGGAGAAGGGAAAAACAGAGTAAATTCATTTTGGGGAAAGAAGGARCAGTGCCAATGTTGCAGTCTAGTCCTCTTGTACTAAAATGAAGGATGACTGTGTTAATAAAGTCAATAACAGGATTAATTTCTGTGGCTTTTAAGATTAAATCCCTATATTCATCACCAGAATGGTTGTGAAGTAACAGGAAARAGGGGAAACAGTGCAGCGTAATTTTGGAAATGATGAATGATTTATTGATTCAGCTGACTTGTTCCTCTTACTGAAGTGCTGGGAGATAAATCCTTAAATTTGTAAATCTCCAGGTATTCTTTCTACTGTAGTAAGAGTATACCTACAGATTGTTTGTTTCCTGGAGGTTTATCTGATACTTTTGAAGGTTCACACCTTCAATTACYCTCTGTAATGGAATTTATTAGAAATAAGAACATAAAGTTAACTCTGGTCTTCCAGGAGCTCTGCAGAACAGTTTATTGTTCCACCAAATTATTTTACAGGTATTGACCTAAGGAGTGAATCCAGAACTGGAGAGCAGTCCCACTTCAGTGTGAGTTTAATAAGTGTGAAAATAATCAGTTTTTATTCTCTTTTCAGGTCGGGTGGTGAATGTCTCCAGCATGGTGAGCTGCTCAGCCCTGGGACGCTGCAGCCAAGAGCTCCAGCAGAAATTTCGCAGTGACGCCATCACTGAGGATGAGTTGGTGCAACTCATGAACAAATTTGTGGAAGACACCAAGAAAAGCGTCCATGAGAAGGARGGTTGGCCCAACACTGCCTATGGGGTGTCCAAAATTGGGGTCACGGTCTTGTCCAGGATCCAAGCRCGGATGTTAAATGAGAAAAGGAAAGGTGACCACATCCTCCTCAATGCCTGCTGCCCTGGCTGGGTGAGGACAGACATGGCAGGTCCCAAAGCCACCAAGTCCCCAGATGAGGGGGCTGAGACCCCCGTTTATTTGGCCCTTTTGCCTTCTAATGCTGATGCTCCTCATGGCCAATTTGTCAGTGAGAAAACTGTAAAAACCTGGTGAGCTCAGGAGGGTAGGGATGGAAAGGTGCCTGATCTCATTGACCTGATTTTGCCCTTAATTCCATCATTGCCAGCCCTTTTCCCACTCCCCCTGGGATGGATCTCAGATGTGGAGCTGGGATGAGGAAGCAGGTGCCTTATTATTTCTCAGCACAGTAGGTCTTTCCAGGGTCCAGCACTGCTTSTGGAAGCTGTACATGTTTTCCTAAAGAGGATGAGGTTGTTTCAGAGCTACAGTGTTGTCACCAGTGTGGGGGGAGACTCATAAGACCAGACCAGAATCACTGTTGTGAAGACATTCCTTACTATCAGAACTAAATGGAATTAAGTGAAAATAAAAAAAAGCACTGATTAACCATTTATAGCCRAACATAATCTGTTGGTTATATTAATATGTCAATAAATAAATAATTACTGTTATATATTAATTCAACTGGCTTATTCTGGTACTAGAAACTTTAAAAGTTTGAAAATGTATTTTCATTTTCTGCAGCTAAGTTTGTGGCTTGAATGTGTGATGTCTGCACTAGATAAAGAAAAAATAAACTAYAGACCTGACACAGCAAAGTGTTCCTCAGTTCCTTTATTGCACAGCCAGAAGTTTCCTTATTAAAATCTGGAGGAAGTGCTTTCCACATAGCAGGAATATGAACTGTAAGTGATGTGGAGAGCTCTACATTTGCTTTAAATGCTGCTTATTGCATTTCACATGCTCAGAGTTGAAAAATTGCCTCTTCTGAGGCTGAAGGAGCTGGAAACAATTGCCCATAAAGCTGTTGTTAGTAATGACAGATCAATAATGGGCTTGTTAATTGTTAATCAGGAGTCAGGGAGGCAATGCCAGGCACAGCATCACCTGACTGGGTTTGACACTGGCCTCCTCCAGAACAGGTTGTGTTTAGGGAAGCCTTAGAAATAAATATTGYAGAGGGGGTTATTAATTGCTTATCAGCACAGAACAAAGAGGTGGTTTAAGTTGGTCTTTTCAGCATTCAGGAGCTATTGTTTTTGTGAAGAATTGTAACATYGGTCATGCCCCAGAGGTCCTTGAAAGGAAGGCCAAAAGTTCTCATGGTAATCTGTTCTCTGGGAAGAAAAAAGACCTCAGCGACCTTTGGTTTAGGGAAAAAAATGAAAAAATCTATAAAGTTTTGGCTGCTACAGTGTAACCCAACCCTCCTGATGTGCCACARGAAAAAAAACAGTCTCTGTGCACCCTCCCAGTTGTGTTAATGGTTTCTCAACRAAACACAATGTGGCTCTTTGATTCGGTCAGAGTTTGTGCACAGCTTGAAGAGACTTAACCCAGCAGTGGAGAATCCTGCYTCATTCTTAATCTCTGAAATGCTGCCTGAGTCATTGAGCTTCAAAAGCTGTGTGTCCATCTGCTTGGCATCTCCAAACATTCCAAACACACCTTGGCCTTTGTTTGGATTGGAAGAGTCCTGGGTACCTTGACCACAGCCAGGTCATAACCAGTGCTAAACACAAATCTAAGTATTCTCTATGATCTGTAAAGCTCCTTCTTGAGTCTGACTCCAGATCTGCTCTGTTGGTTTGGGGTTTTTTTTTACATTCAAGCCAAATTCTAGGTTTGCAAGTTTTACAGCAGGTGTAAAAYACATTCTGGAGAAGAGAAGGCTCTGGAATGACCTTAGAGCAGCTTTTTCAGTGCTTAAAGGGGCTACAGAGGAGTTGAAGAGGGAAAGGGAGAGGCAGAACAAGGGGCAATGGCCTCAATTGGAAAGAGAGCAGATTTTGATTGGATATTGGGAAGAAATTCTTTATGTGAGGRTGGTGAGGCCCTGGAAGAGRTTGTCCAGAGAGGTTATAAATTCTCCATTCCTGGCGGTGKCCAAGGCCAGGTTGGACATTGGTGTYTGGAGCAGCCTGGGACAGCGGAAGATGTCTGCCATGGCAGAGGTGGCACTGGGTGGACTTYAAGGTCASTTCCAASCCAAACCATTCTATGATGGTTCTGTGTATTTCAAATTCTTAAATTAAACCATTTGTTAAATCTCTGTGTCAGGGTGAGGAAGCAGAAATGGAAGGTGATGACTGGATAGTCACTGTCAGCAATGCCATTTCCCATGGGGATATTGATTAAAATGATTTCTTGTGGTATGAACAGAAGGAATGACAGAGAACAGAGGTTTTCCCCACCTTTGCAGCTGTGATATGGGACTCAGGGAAGGAGAAGCAGCTCTGTGGATGGACCCAACCTCRGGGAACAAGAAGCAGAACCAGTTTGAAGGAAGGAACATGTCCAGGAGAAGTGCACCCATTCCCTGCTGCCACTGGAAGTGGGAATGTGTCCCAGGAAAAGAGCTGGAACAGGGCAGAGTGCCAGGGGAAGGCTGTTTGCTGGCAGGAGAGTCAGGCCAGGCTGTGCAGTGGCCGTGCCAGGCTGGGGCTCTGCACAGGCCTTGCATTGTTCAACCTAATTTTTTTTTGTTGTTGTTGGTGTTTTTTTTTTTTTTTTTTTTTTTTTTTTCTTTTCTTCTTTTTTTTTTTTTTTTTATTTTACGGCATACTTTATATGAGCGTGTTTTTTTTTTTTGTCTTTTATCTGCCTCCCTGCTTCTCTCGCAGGTCTGTTGTGTGGGAATGTGGGAATTGTTTTGTTGCTCTCAGATTCTGGCACCCTTGCCGAGTATGAAATTTAAGGGTTAGGTAAGAATGAAATAATGATGAAATAATAATGAAATAATAATGAAACAATAATGAAATAATAATGAAATAATAATGGTGTGTTGTCTTGTACAAAACATGATTTACTGGTGTCCTTTTCATGGCATGTCACTGCCACTGAAGGAAAATCATGGAATCACAGAATGCTTGGGTTGGAAGGGACTTTAAAGCTCATCAAGTTCCACTCCCTTTCCAAGTAATAGGAAAACATCCCAAGTAACACGCTGTATTTCAGGACATAAATGTCCTGTCTTAAGGACTTCATCACAAATACAAGTTCTTTGCTCAGTCAGGYGCATGCTCAGAAGCACTTGCCTGCATTGGCCAAGAATAATTCTAAAATTTAGAAATTGACCCTTGAATTGGTGCAGTTTAGAAAGGACATTCCTAAAATGGGGCTAGGAAGGGGAAAGGCAGTGGTGTCGAGAAAAAAAAACACGGTATATTAATGTAACACAATGTACTTATTATACTTGATGTAATGTAACTTAATATTTCATGTGTTACTTAATATTTCATGTGTTACTTAATGCAACTTAATGGTGGTCATAGCTGAAACAGTATCCATCCAAATCTGAACAGTTTCTCTTCCCTCACCTTGAGTAACTGGATAAATGTATTTCCCTTGATTTTTTTTTCCACAACTGTTTTGAACAACCAGGATTTTCGGCCCGCACGTTAAAAAAAAAGGAAACAAAAAAAAAAGAGAAGAGGGAGAGGCAAGGGCAAGAAGAGAAGGGATGGCAAAGGAAAGAAAAAGGGAGGGGGAAGAGAAACTGAGGTTAAATAATGTTTCGACAGTATATGAATCCTCATCGGGCACGTTCCTGTATTTTGCTTCCCATCGGTATTTTGCTTTTGGTTGTTCTGTTTGTTCCTCTGGTTTGCTGCCAGTGTACCAAAAATCCAGCGCAATCACCTTCTCCCAAGCTTGTTGTAGCGAACAGATGGCTCCTTACATCGAACTCGAGCCCAGTAAAAATGCGACATCCGAGCCCTCGTAAAAACCATAAAAATTTCCCCAAAACGCATCTTTCCTAAATCCRGCTGGACCAGAAACGAAGTTGGAAGCGCTGTCACTCCTTCACCTGCAGGGCAGGTCCCGGCCGTCGCTGCGCGGCCCGGCGGGGCGGGGACAGGCACGGCTGTCCTTGTTTCCAGAGCACGGGAGTCAGTGTGGAGGGAGAACGGAGCGGCCCGGCCGCGGTGCCGATGCTCCGGTGCTTCCTGGGGTTCTCCTGGCACTTCCCGGAGCTCTCCCGGTGCTTCCCGGAGCTCTCCCGGTACTTCCCAGAGCTCTCCCGGTGCTTCCCGGAGCTCTCCCGGCCCGGAGCGGCCGCAGGGGGAGCGCGGAGCCGCCGGCCCCGCCTGCGCCGCCAGGGGGCGCTGTGTGGCCCGGTCTGCCCGCTGGACGGTACCATCTCCCCGCGGGGGGAGGCGGATGACGCGCTGCGGGCTGTGACCCTCCGCGATACGCGACAGCGGGTGGCACCGGGGAAAGGGTGACAGCGACAGCGGGTGACAACGACAGCGGGTGACAGCGACAGCGGCCTCGGTTCATAGGGCCAGCTGCAGCCCTCCCGGGCGATGCCGCGGCGCTCCCCGCGCGGCGCTCGGTGGTGCGGCCCCACTGCGGCCCTGGCGGCGCGGGCGGGGGCGCGGGCGGGTTCGCACAGGGCCGGGTTTCCATAGGGACTGCGGGAGCCGCTCCCGCCCCGCCGCGGCCCGGGCTCCCTCACGTCTCCGCCGGCGCCCCGGGAGGAGCGCGGGGCCCTGCGCAGGTACGGGGTGCGGGAGGGCGCGGGAGGGGACCGGGCGAGGGGGCAGCGCTGGCCCCGTTCGGCTGGCCCGGGACACAATCCCAGAATGGCTGGGTTTGGAAGGGACCTCAGGGCTGATCCACTCCCCGCCCTGCCGAGGCGCGGTCACCTGGAGCAGGTGACACAGGAAMGCGTCCAGGTGTGTTGGGAATGTCTCCAGATAGGAATATCCACAGCATTCCCAGGGAAAGGGCACGGCCCGAGGCTGCCGGAGCTCAGGAGCGTTTGACAGCGCTGCCAGGGATGCACAGGCTGGAATTACCCCAGACTGGATGATCCTGATGGATCCCTTCCCACTCAGCACATTCCATGTTCTCCCTGGGCAGCTGTTCCAGTGCTCTGCCCCCTCCATGGAAAGAAGCTCTTSCTCATGCTGAGGWGGAATTTGTTGTTTTAGTTGATGGCCATTGCTCCTCGTACTGCCCACTGCAGAGAGTCTGGCACCATCAGTGCTGGAAGTTGATGAATAATTATTTACGTCAGGGTTTACTAAGGAAGTTTGTGACCTGGGATTTGGAAGATGTGCCTAAAGGTCACTGGCAGGTGGCTTTACATRGCTTTTTAACTATTATATATTATTATTTGTATTTCTGCCTTTGTGTCCAAGCACAAACACGATCTATTTRCCTTATTTAGATTATTGGATTTTGTCAAACCTTGCTGACATCTGGCAGCTATGGTGCAGGAATATCAATCCACACTAAATAATTACTTCCATCCCTGCTTTTCTGGCTGTCTTTTCACTGCAAAAATCCGAATGAAATGTCCTAAGAGCTGAATGTCCTGTCAGCAAACGAGCTGCCTGATTCTAARTGATCCAGACAAATCTCTTTTTCATGGAAGTGGCAGCAGCCCTGACCTGGCAGAGAGGTGCTGGAATAACTTCCCAGCTCATGCCTTGTTCTCAGTAGTACGAAACAATCCCACGATTAAGATACTTAGATGAGATGAAGGAAATAGGTTTCCATTTCTTGGCCAGTGTTTCTATCAGATTACTCTTAATTTTTGCTGACAGTATCTTGCAGCTTTTCCACTTTGTTGAGTTTTATGGGAGGATTGGCTTCCTTTTT